CTGTCTTGAACACATTATTGCCTTCGTCCATTGTCATTATCCCTTGACTCACAGAAACATTAGAGTTTGCTTTCATGGTGAAAGTCCTAGTTAAGTGTCTGTAGGAGAGAGATACATATGGGCCACGATGGCAGAGAGAGGGGAAGACACTGTTTCAATATGTCAGCAGGGGAATTAGTTATGTATGCCTCATGAATGTGGCAAATGTTGCCATAAAAGTTTCTTCCAGTTAATAATTGATTTTCTAAACACAAACGTGTTCTCATCTCACAAGAGAAAATGCACCACTCACTGAAGAGTTCCTGCTTACTCAGAAATTTCCCCTTTATCCCTCTTGTACATCATGTCTACCCAAAGTTATATGTAGCAGTGAACTTTAAACAAATATACATGTGCTGCAGATGTCCCCATGTTCAGGAAGGATCTCAACCAGCTGTTAGCCATGGAGGGCATGTGCCATGTAGGATAGGCATAAAAACATTTGTCAATTCATTATCATATCTGCCAGTTTTCTTTCATGTAATTGTCCAAAAATTATTCTTGAAGGCACCCCTGGATAATCACTCTGTATAGTCAAGAGAGAAAACCCACAGAAACACTGAATGTTAGCCTCTCCACAAGCTTGAAAATTTTTTTACTGTCAGTAAGTGTTATAAGTAATTCCAGCAATAAAAAAAGAAAATCAACATTGTATTTAACAAGCTTTTTGCCTTGTACAAACGTACAGGACTGTAGATACTGTGCATGGAGATATATGAGACAAGGTAACTGCCTGCAAGCTCATGGCATCCCACCTGGGGTTTCTGGTTCTGATGGAAAGGAATGATAGTTTGGCAGCTTTGGCCAAGTATTTAAGTGTTCTTGTAATTGTCTCACAACCCTCCAGTCAATCTGCTACAAATGTGTGTCTGGAACAGCAAAGTCCCAGAGCTAAAGCAACAGGGTTGATGTTAAGTTAAAATTGACTTTCACAGCTTCTGGCTATAGTGACCCTCATTTTTGCAGCCAAGACTCAATACCCTACCAATAAAAATTACTAAAATTTATCTTCAAACTGCTAATACAAACTGAGGAGAAGATGCCAAGAGAATAAACCGTTAGGATAATTAAAGCACACATGAACATCTTTGACACACTCCATGTACTTCAGCTAGTGATCTTGTGGTGGTTTAAACCCAGCTGGGAAGTGAGGCACCAGATAAGACACTCCCTCCCCCTCCACCCCTCTCTGGTGAGAGGGACAAAGGCAGACACTATAGATTGACATAAAAATTTACTGAAAGAAAAGAGCAATGGAGAACAAGGAACGCACAGTAACAGAACAATACTAATAAAGAAAGCATGCGAAAGAGAAGGTGCTTTACACACAAAAGGTGTTCATCACCTCAGCTTAGTTCTGCCTGGCCACTGAGATGAAAACAAGGTGCAATGTTCCTGCAAATCAGCAGTGGCGTGCAGTTATTCCTGAGACAAAGACAAGACAGCAGATGCTCAGCATAGCTAGTGTGATGTGGTCTCCTCAGACAAAGTGGAGATGGTGAGTACTCTCCACAGTTGACATTCTCCAACCCCAGGCCTAAGACAATGAAAAAAAAAAAAGATGGATAAACCCCCAAAAGGCCAGATCACTAGGTTGTATCTCTCACTTTCCAGACCACTGGGCTTGGCTGTGATCAGCAGTACTCAGCTTGGCTTGGCTCCTTGCTGCTGGGCTTGGGCTGGCTGGCTCCCAACCCAATACCAATGATCATCTTAGAAGTAGTCTTTCTTCAGACATTCAGTTGCCTAAATATTCCTGAATGGCAGGAAGCAGTGTGAATGAGCTAACCCACCACCATGAATTTGTGCTCCTGTTTTGACTGGGGCTGCATTTAACAGCTCTCTATCCCAGTGTTTTCTAATATACTCATCACTGTGACACAAGCACATTTTTTGCTTCCTCCAATGTTGTGCAGGGGATACATTCCTGATGACATTTATGGTTTTGCACTGAGTGGAATAAACAGGCACATTATTAAACACATCCCATTCAAGATGCAAGGAGAGGAAATCTGTCTCCAACAGCATTCAGCTTTCTTTTATTTCTTCAAAACCTAAGCTGAAGCACAAGCAGCTACTTGAGGCCTGTAATATAAATGGTTTGCACATAATGACCCAGTCTCTTCCTTTTCAATTTTTGGACCAAGTGCAGGTGCCAGTGAATGCTGTTTCCCACCTCTTTTGGCATAGTGTGGAATCATAACTTTCCCAATTCCAGTCTAAACTGTCTTGTAGGTTGTTGGCAACAGAAATAAGAATCCTAGGGCTCTTGAAATAATTTCTCACAATGTCAAAGGAATGTTAAGAGACTGAAATAGTATTGGACTATTCTTTTCCAGCTGTGCTGGAAGCCTATATATTCTCTTGATGCATTAACAATGGAACATGAGGATACTAAAGAAATCCATGAATCACAATTGTCAAAATGAAGCTGCTTTTAGGCAATGAAATGGAAGATCACGAAAAGCAGACAGACTAGTTAGGACAAAGGAAAATGTACTCAAAACGTTTTCCCAAACCAACTGGGCTACACAAAGGGCTGTAGCAGGTAAGCAGACACTAGGAATAGGGAAAGTGCATTAGGGCTGCCAGCACAGCATGGCTACCTTGGCCCCAGCAGGATTGCTGTCTACACAAGATTCCCTAGGACATGTGAAAGCCCTGTTTTAAATGGGGAAAGCAATAGGTCTGCTATAGTAGCTTTCTTTGAGGAAATTATTTCACAGTCCCCGTAAATCTTGCCATTAAAGACTGCTTTCTGACCAGCACAGCAACTTTTCACTGGCCTTGATCTTCACACACGCAAGTAAGTTAATTTCACCTTTTTTCATTCTTGTCTTATACAAATCACTGCAAAAATAAGCAGAGGTTTTAAAATTCTTATAGGAAGGGGTTTGGAGTTGGCATTTTTGGTCTCTTTAATCCCACCAAAAATGAGAAATTGTGTCTTTTTCACCACCCTCACTCCGATATCTTTGCCTTTAAGGTCCATCAAAGCTGTCACATTTTATTCTCATTTTCTGAGTGATGTCATTGTCATCAGACTTTTACTTCTTTATCCCATTATTACCTGCATAGCTTGGTTTAAATATTGAATTTTTCTTTTTTTCATTTCAAATTTTCTGGCTCTTTGAATAGCATACTTTTTTTTCTTATAGAGTTATTTCCTTGTAAGATCGTAAACCTTAATCTCCCTCAGTGTATGGCATGTACATAATCCAATATGCCAGGTAGATAGATGGCATCCCAATTTAAGACCTCCCCAGTGACCTCCCATGTAGTTTTCCTCTTTGAATATATTGTTTTTAAATATCTTCCTTGGGTAAAGGCTCTAATTATTTGTGCCTTCCTGGGGGTGAACCTTTTTAAATTAAACAATAACTAATATTATTAATGAAGAAAATAAAGTTAGACTTTTAAAGAAAATTAACACAACTAAATTGTTGTGGCTACAATTTGTATTTATCTGGCTGTCACATGCCTATCTCATTTCTTCTTTATTCCAGAAGGTCAAAAGTAAACAGCAGCAAGAAAACCAGATAATCTAGTTGTGTCTGGTACTAAAGCCTTTACCTTTCATTTCCATGCCTTTCTTCTCTTGGCTTATTAAAAATATAGAAGGCCAAATCATTTTGCTTGGTGAATATTGAACCAGTGTCACCCAAAAGAATCTGGTTTTTGCCCTAAACCAGGACAAATATGTTCAATTACTTTCTATCTTTTGGTCTTTCTCTGCACCCGAGGAATGTGTTTTGTTGACTCTTGTCAAGTTAGACCCAGAGTGTCAGCTGAAGGGGGGGAATAGGATCGACCACCACCTACTTGGAAAGGCGTAGCTGAGCCTTAATTTGAAGTTGTCAACAAACATAACAACTTTTCCATAATTTTGCAACTCTTCCTCTTGTAAATTTCTCAGTTATTTTGTTCTGACTTTTTATGTACTCCTTTCAGTGAAATTGGCAATGACTTAAAAAAGAGGTCTATTTGATGTTTTGGGCTGTTGAAACAGAAGAACAGATGGTAGCAGAAACTAACAGGAGACCTCTGCAGACAGTTCTGAAAAAAAGGGCAAAAATGTTGTTTAAACCACCAGTATTAACAGAAAAAGAAAGAAACAAAGCAAAAAGTTACTATAATCTGTCTCTAAAATAAGCTCTTCTCCATAGAAGCATATGTTTGTATTGTATTACCAGTAATTTCATGGTGGGAAAAGCTAAATGATCTCAGATCTGACATAGGCTAAAAGCAAGATTTACCATGGCTCAGCTGTCTTTTAGGAGCTTGTTCAGCTGCTCTAAATCATATATTTAAGATCCAACACAGATTAGTTAATCCAACAAAATGTTTCAGTGCATTGAACTGTGCTGGACTTTAGCAGAGCAGAAGGGGAGGAGCCATGTTGACCTCCATGGCTGACTATTCACTAATGTCTTTAAAATTTTCTGCCTAATTTCCTGCTCTGTGGAATGCAGCTCAGAAATCTCTGTCTCTAAGACAGATTCCCATTAGTTAAGTGCAGCAGGAAAACATTATTAGTAAATGAAAAAAATATCTACTCTCTAAAAAAAGTTTTAAAAATTTCATTTGCACTATATATGATCATTCTTTCTGTATACCAGACTGCCATATTATCCTAAAATTGCTACTTTTTATCCTTATTTCTGGTTACAAATATTGTTTGAGACCTGAAAAACTTCCCATTACAATTTTCATCAAATCAGACAACTCCTTATAGGAATGTTTATTTCAAAGATTAAGCATTTTTACATTGTGGAAAAACATATGGTTGCTGTGTATAAGAGAAAGAGTAAAAAAGAAAGTTCAAAAGCTGACAGCCTTGGAGCAACTCTGCCTCTGTTATGAGGCCATAAAGAGGGTGGTGTGAAGTATCATGGCACACAGACCTTTTCTCTCCATTTTCTGAGTGAACTATAAGAAAAAAAACTCAATACTTAATTTAATTTTATTAACATTTCTTTAATTTCCACAGAAGTTATTTTACAGAATAAATTTAACCACACACAATGACCCAGGCTCTCTATTCACTTTCATTTCCAGTCAACTTTTAATCTGCATTTCTATTACAAATAAATACAACTAATTGCACCTGGCCAGAAGCAAATAATTATTTTTCACCTTCTCAGATCACTGTCTTTGAACTTTACCAGCAGATAGCCAAGGAAACAAACACAACAGATAATGTCCAAATTCCAAGGGAGGACTCATGAACGTGTAACCTCCAGGCGTCTAATGATTTCCAGGTGCACATCACCAAGTGTCTCATCCTTAATTAATTAGCCAGCTGGCCTGGTTTGTCAGGAGCACTAGAACAGCATAGGCACATCTTGAAGGTGGGCTGAGTGGTTGAACTTCCAGTTCTGTCTGAGATTAGAGAAAACAGGCAACGTGCTGCTATAAAAAGAGAGTTTCGTACAAGTAGAGGCAAGCTGAAAATCCAGTTACAAAACTCCAGTGTTTTCCATGAAAAGTACAGCAATAGTCTTGTTCAAAGTCAAATGCATGAGTTTTGTCTCGGTAATCAGATCAAGGAACATGTAAATTGCAATAGGAATAGCTGAATAGTCCTCAGGCTAAAACACCACATCCCCTGGCAGATAACTGACTTTTCATTATGTCCTAGGTTATAATATTGGGGTGTATTCCATTACCACCTCGAGCTGCAATTCTTTTTTTGTTTCCTTATCTTGTGACTCAGAGATAAGTCCCTCCAGGAGGACCTGTTCTTTTAGCCACATGACTGATAAGATCACAGCATTCTATGGTGAGATGCTCCGCCCAGAGGGAGGAGCCAAACAATGCCACCAAGGATATAAGCGGTGTTGTGCAGACAGCAAGTAGATCGCCTCTTCCAAGAGGAACAGCTGTGACCTTCTCTACACCGGACCTCCAGAGGGAAACTACATCAATCTACAGGACCACTGCTTGGACAGAACCATATCTGCTACCACCGCCCTAGCCAGCAAGTATCAGGTTGTATCTCTAACTCTGTCAATGGTTCTTATTTTGTGCTATTGTATATATTTGGTTCTTTATTCTCTTTTCCTAATAAATTGTATTTCTGACTTAGAGCCTCTCACTGGTTTTGCTCTTCAAACCAGGACACTTTAGAATGTGATAAATGAGAACATTTTAGAGCATCTTCCTTATTCAGTTTGTTTATTTCCTTTAGCTTTAAAATTACACATCTCTATGTTTTCTTCATGATACAAGCTGAAGCTAGAAAGAAATTATGACCACTTGTTAGAGACATTAAATGTTAGAGGTGAATCAGTTGCCAAAAAAGGAAAGTATTGCAAATCTCTTAAGAAAATGGTTTGATGATCCACTGGTGCATGAGAATCTGAAGTATAGAGAACGGGATGTGCAATGAAAGTTTTTGGAGTAACCAGATCTATGCCCATTACTCAACAGAGGGCATGTTGTTAAGAATTATCACACACTGGATATCAGTGATTTACCCAACCACAAGTTAGAAACAATGCTGGACAAGTCATTCAAATGAGCTTGCTTAATTGCAGTGGATGCCGCTTGGTAGAATCTGAAATCAACAAATTCAAACCAGTTGTGTTTCATCATGTTTGCTACAACCAGAAAGCTTTGAATATGTCTCGATTATTTAACCCATTAGAGATTTATTATTTTTCATTATTAGGTAAGAAAACATCCAGGAATTTTGAGATAAAACATGCGATAACTGTTTTGTGTTGTTACCAAAACAGGACCTTTGACTCAGACCTGGTTGTTGTGGTGTTCACCCACTAAAACTGGGTGTTTAGTTTCCAGTTAAGAAAATATATCTTGTTTCTTCTGGTTTCATATTGAGCTGGGCTGGGATGGATCCCAAAAGATTATCTTTTAACTAAATTGCATTTTGCTAAAGAATTATCCAGGAAGGCACATAGTCTTGCTTTTGAGGCATCAAGGAAGAGAAAATCTACTACTGTTCTTGGTTTTCTTACTGCTCAGATCTTCTTTTTATATGTTATTTGATTAGATTTTTTTTTCTCCTAGCTTTAGTTTATACTTTCTCACTCATTATGTTTTTCTCCACTAGATTAAAGAACTATTTACTACCAGGCATTTTCTTCTCACTTACATGCTGCAATCTAGTCAGTCCTTTAGGAAAACCTGTTAAGTCCCATGGTATAACATTTTTCTCTAGCACTTGAACTATGTTTTCAATGCTTTCCTTGAAATGTAGACACTTTGGCTAGACTCAATATTCTAGTACTGGCTCTCACTACCTTGTGTACAGAGTAAATCCCTCTTTAATCCTACTTGTTACTTTCTGTAATTTCTGGGGATGGAGCATTTTTGCTCTTTGACTTTATTTTCCCTATAGGATTGTTCTGGTAGTCTCCTGTCACATTGCTTTTCAGGTCTAAACCCATATCTTTTCCTGTGTCACTATTTTTCTGGGAACAGAGCCTGATTCTATAACTGCTGTATGTATTCAGTTTTCTAGACAGAAGCCTCTGATTTAGTTTAGTTGAACTTTTATCTCTTAAATGTTTAAATTTGAAATTGTCACAGATTTAATATTTACTGACAGAAGATTGAAAAAAAATGCAAGTAGCTTCCATCTAGTACCGATCCTCACACATCCCCAACAGGAGATCATCTGTAGATGTGGGCTACAAATGGGATAGTGGAAAATGGTGTCCTATTATCCTTTGAACCTTGGAGAATAGGCAAGGCAGAAGCAGAATTTGCTTTAATCTATAGGAATTGACTCCAAACTGTAAAATTATTTCACAGCTCAAGTAATCAAAAAGAAAGACGCAGGGGAAACAGGGAACTGTGTTTCTTCTTTAATTTCTCTCATTACCTTAAAAACATTTTCTCATGAAGATTCTTCTCCATTGCAATACTTCTGAATTAGAGGAGGGTTCAACAATTTATTTTAGTATCTCGCACTTTGCATGTTTTCCCCAAAAGCTGAATCTGTATCCCATTTGCAGTCTCCTTTTGAGGGGCCAGAAATCTGGATCTGTATATTGCACCCAGTAGCAAGGAAAGGCCGTCTGTGACAGAATAAATGAAATATTAATTAGATAGACAATAACTAAATGGCAGAAATTTACCTTAGCTCTTCAGAATGATAAAGTGTATGTCTTCCATCAGTCATGAGACTGATGCCACTCAAAGGCGATACTTAATGGAACTGGCTTGATCTTGAGATAATTTGTATGAAAATTTTAATGCTTTTGAAAAAGGTCTCAGTTCAGAGTAGAGATTTTGTAACTCCTTCTACTTTAAAAATTGTAAAAAAAAAGTCATGTAGAAACAAAAAATACTCTTTTGATTTGCTAACTGCTTATCAAGGAGAAATTTTCAATATGATTTTGCTTCCAAAAGAGAGAAAATAGAACTGTCTCTTGGCTGGGAACTCTGTTGCAAAAAATGTGGTGTTCTGGTCTTAAAATTCATCATCCATCTTTAATGGTAATTCAGAAAGTAAGAGCTAAGACTCCTTCAGTTTGGCATCCTACATGCAACTCTTGAAATTGGTGCTGGTATACTTCCCTAAGAGTCAGCTCTTGTAAACTCATCTGGTTTCATTCTAAATTATCTACCATTACAGAATAACCTAGGGAATATTTTCATTTGTTTTGTGGAGAAGATTAAAACCTCTAATTTCATTGGAGACCTATCACATATGTTGCTACTTTCACAGTGTAATGTAGAACTATTGAAAGACTGAATTTGGAAGACATGAATGCAAGATTCAGTTTCCTAGACTATCTTGAAAGAGTTTTCTCATTTGAAGAGTAAATTAAATATACTTCCACAAAGTCACAAGGGATGGAAATCCAGGAGATCTTAGTCTGGTCTACTGTGGAATTGCTTATTCAAACATTTATCTTTAGTATTTCTAGAGAAAACAGTTCTGCCACTAAGTAAGAGAGTGATTTTTCAGTGATTTTGATTACTCTGTCTTGGCATCTCAGTTCAAAAAAAAAAAAAAAATAAAAAAAGAAGCCTGTGGGCTTAGTTTACGCAGGTCAATTCCAGTTTCAGATGAAACTGATTTCAGCTGATAAAATGGCCACTGCATTTCAGAGGGAATAATTTTAACTTCTGCTGTAGTGGACATGATCAGAAGTCCTGAAAATCTGTGAAGATGAGCACCCAAAACTGAACCATAAAATTTTAGTGCCCTTATTTGAAACCCTTGTCTTAAATATAACTGTGTCTTTCATTCTCTAACTGCAAAACAATGTACTCAGATTGCACATGACCTACCTTACACACAGCTTCCCCAGCTTGGCTAACTTATTATTAGAGGAAATAAGTTATTTTAGTTTGAGATCCCAGAGAAATGTAGATACCAAAACATTATTAGCTTGCCTCCTTGCAGAAATAGATGGTCATTTTCCTTTGAAGTTGTACATATTGTGTGCTATGTGTAATGGCACAGCAATTCAATGCATGCTTTACCAAAGTTGGCAAATAACTGCAGAAGGATCACATTTCTAGACAATCTCCAGGCTGAACTTCATGACATTATACATAAATATCACAATGGAAAAGAAGCTTTTTGCCCACCTAACCATCAAATTTATTTTGAACACTTGGGTTAGTTAGTGTCTGTTCCAGTTCCCAGTCCACATCAGCTCCACTTAATCCCATGTTGGGCTTTCTGCCTTCTTCAGAAGGTGCTCTTTCTCTATATAGAAAGCTAAGGTTCCTAATTTAAACTTGCAATATATAGCACAGAAACACAGAATGAGTTAGGTTGGAAGGGACCACAGTGGGTCAGCTGGTCCAACCTCCCTGCTCATGCAGCATCAGCCTAGAGCACATTGCACAGGATTTTATCCAGAGGGCACAAATAGCTCCAGTGAGGGACACTCCACAATCTCTACAGGCCATCTGTTCCAGTGCTCAGTCACCCATGAAATAGACCACAAGGATGGGCACACTGCTGGCTCATGGACAGCTTGTTGTCCACCAGAACCCCCAGGTCCTTCTCTCCAGAGCTGTTTCCCACTAGATTGGCCTCCAGCCTGTCCTGGTACATGGGGTTATTCTCCCCCAGGTGCAGGACCCTTTATTTGCTTTTTTTGAATTTCAGACGGCTCTTCTTTGCACATTGCTTCAACATGTTGAGGTCCTTCCAAAGGGCTGCACAGCACTCTGAGGTATTGGCCACTCCTCCCAGCTCTGTACTGTCAGCAAACTTGCTTACCTTCATTCAAGTCATTAATGAACAAGTTAAACAGTACAGGACTCAGTACTGAACTTTGGGGAACACCACTAGTGACACACCACCAACTACCCTGTGTCACTGATTCAGACCCTCAAATGAGTAAACTAATCAGAGAAAATCTCAATCTCTCCTCTGTGCCCTGATCACTGAATTTTTTTGAAAACCCTCAAATCCTGCAGTGGGATTTTAAGCACTTTTTTCAGGTTTGGGACTCAGCCCGCAATCAATCTGTAGTAATTTTTCATGGCTTTTCCTAATATGCCTTTTTGTCTTCAGAGCCTCGCAAGTCCTGAAGAGACAGAGCCCTGGCTTAGCCAGTAGAAGAAATCCACCTCATTATACCTTCACAGTAAAATCTTAAGGCTTTTACTGATTTGAATAAAGTTATTTTCAATCCTGCCATCAAGGGACACTGCAAAACAAAGAATTTCTCTCAAAACATTTTGTGGGGATATGTGAACATGTGCCTGATTGTAAAGCTCTCTCAGCCCTGGGGAGGGGGAAGCAAACAGGAATTATGCATTGATATCAGACAGCATAAAAAAATCTATGTCAGGTTTAAGGCAGATTGTATTTTCCTGTCTTTTTAAAAAATCTCTGTTGGGGGAGAGAATGGAGATTTGTGCCTGAATTGTTTGCTTTCCTCCTTGTCATTACCCATATAACAGTTTAAACTCTTCCCTTCTTAATCTGAGGTGACTTACAGAGGTTTCCTATCAAACACAGACACTATACAACACTATATTAGATTATACACTTTGTCAGAAAATTGGCACTTTATATACTAAATGATAGCCTGTGCTCTGCAACCATGCTATCATTCTTGCTCTAAGATCTTGTCAGAGCTTATAAATTAAGTGGGATTTGGCCCTGGAGTTATATGAAAGGGAGGGCTGTAGGAAACAAGATGTTGCCTCAATGCACAGAACTTATTTAAAGAAAAAATCTCTTCCATCTGACCCAGGGCTATCATCTCACCACAGGCTGTCTATTTTAACCTATACATTGCAGAATGAGCAGCAGCATGAGGATACCACCTCATGCTTTTTCCTGATGATTGTATGTTGAGTGTCTCCATCTACAGGAACTGCATCTCCTATTGTGATGCTGTACTATCCAAAGTGATCTGAAACAATAGCCTTGACTGCAGTTCATCTCCACAAGGCAGTAGGTCACTGCTTTAAGAAGCTGAGATACCATTGCTGAGAAAACTTCTGCACCCAAGTTACTGCAGAAAAAGGAGGATACAGTGAGCCAGATCAGCCCTCTATCACATTCCCATGTACATTTGTACCCCAGGGAGGAGAACTGAGGAATCTTTGCACTGCAGCACATTGCTAGCCACTCCTGGGGATGTGGAGAAAGTCCTTTGACTCTGTAACTAGAAAGACTCGGTCAAAAAATGGACATAAAAACATTGCTCTGACGCAGTGTTCTTGGGACCTCTTACTGCTTTCATTTAGCAGTGAATATCTCACAGTAACTGGGATAATTCTGACTATAATTTGGTCTGGCAGCTTCCCCAGAAGGAGAGCTAAATGCTGTCTTCACACCTGCAGGTATGTTTACTTCAGGGGCAGGTAGCTGAACCATCTGCAGAGCTCTTTGCTATTCTTAAAAAAGGACACATCCAATTTCAAAGTAATTATTAGGCTTGCATGGTGCATTGGTTTCAGACAGATAAGGTGCATGCAAACCTCATGGGTGATCACTGAAAACCCCAGTAGTGCTGTGTTCCTGAGTTGTTCAAGGTCTCGAAGCATCAGTAGCTTTGTTGCAGAATGCAAGTGAGGCTATATTTGTGTGCAAAATAAAAGCAAAAGAAACACAAATAAGCTTATAGGAACACACAAGTCTTTCTTCACGTCTGAAACAGAAGCAATAAGATTTTGAGTTTATATGATAGATAAGGACAATTTTTTTTTTTTTTCAAGTGTAACTGAAGCTGGTTTGGGTAAAAAAACACCTTGTAGAAAATAGGCAGCAGGGTGTCAGAACCCCAAGGTTTGGGGCCGTACACCCTGGGTTCAAGCCCAGCGCACAGGGTTGTGCCAGCATCCAGCTGCCCTTCGCCGAGGCAGAGCTGCTCCTCTCCTGAAAGCCGTGCCAGCACGGATTCACGGGGCACAGCAGGGGTAAAGATGGCACAGAGGCTTCCTACTCCGGGTCTCCTTTAAGAGCCTTTCTGCTGCTGCCAGCCCGAAGGGAAAACCGGTGCCAGCAGCAGCAGCACCTGCCCGGCAAGCGTATGGTGACAGTGCTCTCTGGTGGCAGCTGGAATCCTCAGCCAGCGCCAGCATCCTCCCAGCCTGCAGAAAGCGGAAGATGTGCTGGACTCCCATCCGCTCCTCTCTGTGTCTGCACGAGGTGATGAAGTCCAGGAGCGTGAGCAAGTATATAGGCAAGCACAGATATGTATTTTAAAACCTATGGGAGAGTCGGACAGAAAAAACTCCAATTACAAGTCTTAGCTCAGGAACAGTGCTTATTTTCAAAAGCTTTGTGGAAAATGGGCTTTTCTGCTCTGTCATGCTGTCACTTTTCGTTTGTTTGTTGGTTTGTTTACTTGTTCATTTGTTTTATTTGCCACAAGCTAAAAAGAAATGCTTTCCTGGCTCTAAGTTAATGCCCACGTACCAGGTCTCACCAGCATGAAATTCTTTGTACAGTATAATACAGAACAGGGACTCCCATAATACCTGTCATCTGGAGCTCTCCAGACACTTTATACAGCCCTCTGATGATGTTTACAGTACCAGAGTAAAGGAAATATTCATATAGATGGGACAGCCTGTAAGTTGAAATATACAAGGAATATTGAGTTTTGTCTCTGCTTCCTACAGAAAGGACAGATTGACAAATACCAGAAGCCACATGTCAGACACAGCAGATTTTCTTCTAATAGTGTCATCAACTACATGTCACAAAGGGTTTATCAACACAGGATCATGGAATGGTGATCGTGTGTTGGAAAGGAGGGCATCTCTAGAGGTCATTTGGTTCAACCCCTCTGCTGCTCAAGCAGGGCCATGTAGACCTGGTTGCCCAGGACTGTGCAATTCTCTGTTAATGCTTCATCACCTTACTGTAAAAAACTATTTCGTGATTCAGTGATTCCTGTGTTTCAGTTTGTGCCTATTGCCTATTGTCCTGTCAGGCATGTCCTTGCATGTTGTTACATACACCAATATTCCACATTTCATGGTGCACAAGCCTTTTCTACATCCAAACCCATCTGCACTGGCCATTTGGATGCTTTAACCTAACACCCTATTGCTGTGTACAGAAGCACTTGATCAACAACCTGCTAAAGGGAGTACCTATCCTTCACAAGAGAGTTAGTATGTTTTATTTTGTTTATATGAGAGTCAGGCAAAGAAGAAGAGTTTTCAACAACTTAGTGAAATGTTGCTCTGAAGGCTTTCTTTGCTTCAGTGGGATGGTTTCTAATACATTAATAATCGTGGCTGTGTATCTTCAGTTCTCAGCATTTGCTCTGGCACCTCTGCCCGGGGTTTGCTGGCAGACTTGAGTTTGCACTGCCTGTGTACTGAATCAAGCAAAGGCAAGGAGGGTCAGAAGCAGAGGCTGCACATACACATGCTCAACACAGCCTCAGCAAACAGAGTACTGCCAAAGGAATGCGATGACATGGTATTGCCAGTCTGGAGGGCAGGCAGGCAGTGCCTGTCACAAGACTTCAGTCTATACAGAATATAGAATTTGACATTTTAAAAGTAAAAAAAATCTGCTAGAACATACCCAACTAACAATTCTTGAATTCAGTCATGTACCTTTTACACCAGAGAAACTCAGCTGAAGCCAGAAGGCAAGCAATAGGCATAATTTGAATTCACAAGCCTGTAACTCAATGCAGACCTTCCTCTCACCTATGAGGGTGAGACTGAAACAAGGTGGCTGGAGAGTTAAAATAATGAGAATAATAATCTAAATATACAGAGTCAGTTCAGACTTAAGCTACCACATGGCACCTGAGTACCACTGGCTGTTCAGGTACAAGCTCACAGCTCAAAGCAAAGGAGAAGACCTCAACTTACCTCAGTCAAAAAGACTGACGTTATACCAAAACTTTTTGTGCTTCTTGTAGGCTAAAAGAGGCTAATCCTACCCCTAACCTTAGCATACATGTGATTTTTTTTTTCTCGCTAGGTCAGTAATATTCCCACTGAACTCCCTGAAGGGGATCTAATTAAAGCAGGCAAGCTGTTCTACATTAGCTGGATTTCACTCTCCACAAAATACACATAACCTCTTCAAGCATTTGTGCGGTTTGCTTTGAATACCCAATATTAAAAATTAAACATTTCACACTGATTTCTTTTAAATAAGTCATAAAAAAAATCCACAACCAGTGCATGAACAATCAAACAAAAAGAGAACAGAAGAAAATTGTGTTAAAAGATATCTGTCAGAAACTCTTCTCTTGTTTTTACGTTGATCTTTCCAGAATCAGCCTGGTAGAGCTGGGACAAGGACCTTGATCCCCAGAAGAAGATATCAGCAACACTTCAAGCTGTAAAATTCACAGCAGGTTGCTATGGTTATTCAAATCTTCTTTTCAACAGGAGAGAAATAAATTCTCCAGGTCTCTGCAACACAAAATATCTCAGCTATCTCACTGTCAGGCTCTCCACATGGGGGTGGGTTTCAACAACATCATCCTAAATCTAAGCATCAAATGGAGGTTGTTTAAATATTTAAGAGAAATTAAAAGCAACAATTACTTATTATAGAAGATGCGGAGGGAGGGAGGGAGGGAGGGAGGGAGGGAGGGAGGGAGGGAGGGAGGGAGGGAGGGAGGGAGGGAGGGAGGGAGGAAGGAAGGAAGGAAGGAAGGAAGGAAGGAAGGAAGGAAGGAAGGAAGGAAGGAAGGAAGGAAGGAAGGAAGGAAGGAAGGAAGGAAGGAAGGAAGGAAGGAAGGAAGGAAGGAAGGAAGGAAGGAAGGAAGGAAGGAAGGAAGGAAGGAAGGAAGGAAGGAAGGAAGGAAGGAAGGAAGGAAGGAAGGAAGGAAGGAAGGAAGGAAGGAAGGAAGGAAGGAAGGAAGGAAGGAAGGAAGGAAGGAAGGAAGGAAGGAAGGAAGGAAGGAAGGAAGGAAGGAAGGAAGGAAGGAAGGAAGGAAGGAAGGAAGGAAGGAAGGAAGGAAGGAAGGAAGGAAGGAAGGGTTCCTGATGGGTACTTTTCAACTCAGCTTATTTTGTGAATCTGTGATTCTCTATTAAGGAAGACTTCAAATCAAACTGTTTTCTGGTGACAGAGAACTTCCTCAGGTGCTTCAGGATGCCCTGTTCAGAGGGCTGTATTGTGCAGTGGTTTTGCCCCCATGATTTAGGCTGAACTCCCAAACCAGGGATGCATTTAATGATTTCAACCAGACTCCAAAATACCCCATTACTCTGTAGGGTCATATTCTCTGCTTTGCTGTTCCTATTCAGCAATTTTCTGCTTATTCATCTGAGGTCACATTAGTTTTCAGCAACAGCATCACACTGAGAGCTCTTGTTCAGTCAATTATCCATCCTGACTTCTAATTCCTTTCAGGGTCACTGTTTCTCTGGAAGCAACCTCTGCATGTGAAGCCTATTATCCTTGTTCCCAAACACACAACCTTGCACTTGTGCTGGTTAAATAAGACCCACTTTCCAAATCAACTAGCTTGATCTGTCAAACTGATCCAACTTTACCACTGTTTACTCCTACTAATGCTGCTTCCTCTGCCAATTTTACAGGCACTGATTTCCTCACTTGTAAACCATTAATAAAACCTCTGAATTTTATTAGACTGAAAAAGATTCCCATGGAACACTGCTGGAAATACCCTCTGTGGATGATCATTCCTGATTTACAATTCCTTTTTTGAAATCCATCAGACAATTATAATCTGTTTATTATGTACTACATTAATTTTTTATGATTCTAATTTTTTAATTGGAATGTCATATGGTATGAAGTCAAGTGCTTTTGAGAAGTGCAGGTAGATGTCAACACAGCCCCTCTTACCAGACTATCTCATCAAGAAACAAAGTTGTGCCTGCTTAAGCAGATCTGTTCTCCATAAAGTGAGATGTGCAACAGTTGCTGCATAAAACTGTGGATTGAAACAATTCTGGATTCCTAATGAGTAATGAGAAGCCCAATTTTAAATGGGAAACAGACCAGTTGCATTTTCGTACTGCCAAACCCAAAGGTTTTCAAATCAAGTTCACTGCATTTTTTGTAATACATACTGTAAATGTTTAAACTCAAAGTGTATGGCATGGGATCTCATTTGGGATCCCTCAGCACTTCAAGACACAAACACTTACCTACTCTGTATCTTAAGGGGATGAGATGGACTGAACAGCACATTTTCTTACTCCCTCCTCATCCTGTTGAACTAGTTCCGGTCTATCATCTCTAAGGAGACCTTGTGGAAGAGTCTATCTCAGTTGTCTCTGTGTAGAGAAGATGTCCTATAAGGCAATAGAAAATGTCTTGATGACATTTGATGAGAAATCTAGAAGATTTTTTCAGCTTAAAGGTATAATAGATGGGAGAGAAAGCAGAATGTAGGGTTCTTGGGTTGAGATAAGGTCAGGGAGAGATCACTCACCAAATACTGTCATGGGCAAATTGGGCTAAATTTGGGATATTAATTGAATTTATTACTAACAAAATCAGAGCAGGATCATGAGAAGTAAAATAAGACCTTAAAAACACCTTCTGCATACCCTTCCCTCCTTCCCAGCTCTACTTACTCACCTAGTGGCACAAGAAGACAGGGAACGGGAGTTATAGTCACTTCAACCCATGTAGTTTTTGCTGCTGCTCAAGGAAAGGAGTCCTTCCCCTCCTCCACCATAGGGTCCCCATGGACTCAGATGGACTCAGAGAGGTTGATGGATAAATATTTCCCATGGGAAGGACCCCATGGGAAATATTTATCCATGAACCTCTCTGAGTCCATCTCACAGGCAACAGTTCTCCATGAACTGCTGCAACACAGCTCACTCTTCCATGTGGTGCAGTCATTCAAGGACAGGCTGCTCTATCAGAAAACCTGCTCCAGCATGGATTCTTTTCTTTGTGGGTGTGCAGGTCCCTGCCAGGAGCCTGTGCCAGCACAGGCCTCCCATGGTGTCACAGCCTCCTCTCAGGCATCCATCTCCTCCGGCATGAGTCTTTGCCATGGGCTGCAGGTGGATCTCTGCATCTCCACCATCTTCCACGGGCTGCAGGGGCACAGCTGCTCCACCATGGCTTTCGCCACAGATTGCAGGGGCATCTCAGCTCCGGTGCCTGGAGCACCTCCTCCCGCTCCTGCACTGACCTTGGTGTCTGCAGAGTTGCTCCTCTCACATAGTCTCATTCTGTTCTTCTCTGGACACAATTACAACCATGCAATCATTTTTTTTTTCCTTTTCTTGTTCTTAGATATGTTAACACAGAGTCATTACCACAATTTCTAATTGGCCCAGCCTTGGCCATCTGTCTTGGAATCAGCTGGAACTGGCAGAAGCTTCAGCAGCTTCTCACAGAAGCCATCCATGTAGCTCCCCTGCTAGCAAAATCTGGCTGCACAAATCCAAGACTTGGACATCATTAATTTGGTGCTGGCTTCTTATAGAGAAAAGTAAAACACAACTTAAAAGAAATGGGGAAGAAAAAAGATTAATCATAACATTTATAGTGTTATAAAACATTACAAGCAAATTTTAGACCATCCCTCAGCTAATCCTTCAGTACCTGATTTTGGTTTCAGATGTCCTGAAGCCCTTTATATAATGATGTTCTTCTACTGTATAGACATTTGGCAATTATCACTATAGCTGCTTGTTTAAAATAATAAAAATATTGAAGTAGATAAATAAGGCCTAGGTTAACAAAATATACCATCAAGCCATTATCCTTTCAATGTATGCATCCTGCTGGCATGGTTCAGAGTTCATTTACATGATAGATGCTTCTACTTCAGCCTAAAGCAAGGCTGGTCTTCATGTCATTTCCTGTCAGGAGTTGCTGGACCTCACTTATTTATTTGAGATAAATGATGCAATAAAAACACACTTTGCAGTCCAAAAGCCACCTTCATCAACTGCAGAATGCCTGCCTTACTGTTTGATTCCCACCCCACCCACCCCCCCCCACAAGACACTTTCCACAGTAAAACAAATTATTCTGGTACCTAAGCAACACAATATTCACTTATTTTGCTCCTTGTAAACAGCCCAGATGCCTCAGCCATCACATCTGCTTTCTTGTTCCCTCCACACCATCCTAGCAAAAGGTAACAGGAGAAGGAGAGGAGGGTAACTTGTAAAACCTGTGGCCAATGCACCAGCTGAAGGAGCTAAAACTGGTTAGGCCTTATTGAACTGGCCCATGTTACACTCATTTGTCTGCTCTGCTGACTGAGGAACAATCTAAGGAGGAGAGAGGAAAGGGGCTAGAAAATTTTCATAAAGAGACAACTTCTTTACATTTTTACTTTATCCAGCCTGCTGATGCAGTGAACAAGGGCTCACAGGGCTGACTAAATTCAGCAAGAAATTAAAATCACCAGAAATCAGTTAGTTCTGTCACAGAGCAGTACTCAGTGAGATCAAAAGCTGTACAACAAATTAAATTCAAGTCTATCACCTCTGTGTGCAGTTCTCAGTTTATGTATATAGGAAATGCAAAGGAAGATACCCCATGGGGTGTGGCAAAGATTAATCTATTAATGTGTTGTATTTGAAAACCTAAAGTGCTATTAAGTGGTAGACTGATTATTTTAATCAACACTGTTTTCACACCATCTGCAGTTCTATGACTATGACTACAAATGTAACTGTGGAATTATATCCCAGGTATACAGAATCTGTTTTCACCTCTCAATTCGTATTTCATCATTAACTCAGCATCCAAATGCTTAAGATTAATTCAGGTTCAACTGCAGGATGAAACATAAAAGAAAACGCAGTATTATCACATTTCTTCTTCTGAAGAGCCCAGACAGGTACTGTTGGATAGTCAATTGAACCTGAGCCAGTTTTGATGTACATAGTCTAGATATTCTTGCATAGGAGCCACAAGCAGGAGGGTGAAAAATGTAAGCTTTTTAATTTAAATTTTCCTCAGTGATACAGTGACTGGAAAAAACAAAGTTTAGGCAGAAGACTTTCAGCTCTGAAACAACAGAAAGACACATACTTCATATTTTCTATTTACAGGTTAACACTTTAAAAATAAACAGAATGAAATGTTTTGTTAATCGCACACACTAAATACCTTTTGTAACATTAAGAGAAAAGCAGGCAATAGATAAATCAAAAGAGAGAGGGTTTAGCAAGAAATCTGGCAATGCTTACTAAAGAAACAGCACTGAAGTGCTAAGGAATTACATCCTGAATTTTATCTGGTGTTGCTCTGCACTGATAAATAGCTTTGGATCGTGTTCCTATATGTTACAGCTATGGTAAAGATTAGCTCTGAACCTTGATACTAGAAGGTTTCGTTATTCTTTATAAAGCAATCTGTGGATGAAAAGCCAACATCCCCACCCCATCCCTGACTCAAAATGACACCTGCCATGGACAGAATGGCACCTGCACCAACTCTTTTCATACAGCCCAATCTGCAAAGCCAGTGGAGCTACAGGGGAGAGGACAAATTAACAAACAACCAAACTATTATGAAACATGCAGTTACAGAGAAAGTAAAGCTCTTACAGGGGTACAAAAATCATAGCTACCCCATATCAGTGTGAGAAAATAAGGGAAACCAGGGTGCCAAAGAGATGTAAGTTTATTCCCTTGCCTATCTTTCCCTTACCCTTCCTTCCACTCCCTTCTCTGTTTTCTTCTGCAGTAAGATGTGTTGAAAGATTCTAGAGTTTGAGTCATTTTTCTCCATGGACAAATATGTCAAAAAGACTGGAGATTTCTAGCCAAAAATGCAAAAAGGTTAATTTGTTCCTGAATTTACATCTGCAAATCTTCACAGGAAGCAATCTGTGTAACCTCCATGAATTAAACATACCACAGCCAAAAGTCTTTGGCACCAGCTGGGGATTAATGACCAACTGGAAAGATGGCTTGAAGAGGGTTGAGCCATCATTAAGCCAGTGTTCTAATGCCAGGGTTATTGCCATTACAGGCCTTTTTAAAAGCACAGAAGAAAATAAATATTACAGAGCAAGTCGTTTCTTGTATTGAGCCAATACCCCTCCTAAGGGTTTCTGCAGTTTTGAAGAGTGATACTTTTACTCTTGACACATTTTTCCAAAGGCCTTTAGGAATCAATGCTTGAATTGCCTCATACTTGGAATGTCTTCCAGAAATGCTGGAGGAAGGACCCCAGAAATGAGCCAGCACTTATTTTAGTTGAGATGGGCCACTGTAGATTATTGGCAATAGGTAATGGTTGGAAAAGCAGCACTTCTAAACCCAGTTTCTCATTTCCAAATGCACTATCATAGTCTAGAAAGTCTGTTTCTTGTTTGGAATGTTTTCTGGGAACACCTGTGGGTCTGTATAAAAATTTAGTGCCATTATAAATGCTGGAAGGCCAAGCTTTTGTAAATGGCCCAATCTAGGCTATATGGACAAGGGCTGGATGACTGAATGGAAAATACTTAGTGATGTTAAATTGCAAAAGAAATGATCAAAAGGTTGCATCGTCTTTCTGTCGGCGTAAACATAAGATAATTATTGCTTTTTTAGACCAACGTAAATGAGAAGATTTTAAATTCACATATATTCAGGCTATTAATTTGTAGCTCTTTATGAGACCATTTTTATCTGTCACCATTCCATACTCTTACATGCTGCAGTAAGTAGTAGGGAACAACAAAATGTGCAAGTGAAGAGGCTGGGGAAGCACAGTAGGAGTCAGTGGTACATGGACAGAACTCCTGCTATGAAGGGTTCTCTTACTGAAACAACACTTTGGCTTTAAAAGGATGCAATCCACTCTTACTAACACTGTGCTCTGTTCCCTGTTACTCATTCCTGAAACAATTATTATAACCCTTGGCTTTGCTGTTCCATTGTAACCTTTCTGAACCCATATCGGAACAAAATCATGATTACATGAGAGGGTTCCAATGGTGCTTCCATAGCATTGTATCCCAGTCAAGAACCTCATATACCATAAAACAAGTAAGGCAATTATGTAGATTTAAAATTATACTTTAAAAATTAAAAAAATGGAGTGATAAAAACAGTGTCTCTATATGAGTCTAAAATGTTGAGCCTTCCTACATGCAGCCTTTTCCTTAAATTCCTTATTGTCCTTTTTCTTAAGTTACATGTAGTCTCTCAAACTTAGAGAAGTTAGAAGAAAATGTGCCTCATTCATGGGTAATATGGCAGGACCCACAACAAAGAAAGAATTTATATATGCTTCTCTCTTTTGAACAGTTAAAGCCATATCAGAATGTGAATACTTTATCTAGGGACAGCCTTGTTATCGATGCTTAAATCAACCTGACCAAATAATTGAAGAAGGTAATTTAGGTCTTTGATGTAGAAGAGAAAACATTTGACATGCAGCCTCATCTGCTTTTGGGTCTTCTGGCAGTCAGAGTTATTTGAAACATCTCAGCCGTTAGCTCCTACAAAACTCCACACCACTCACATAAGGAACAAAAATCTTGGTTTAATTCAGAATTCAGCTAATTCTAAAGCTTCCACTAGCATTTTTCCACCACTTCCTCACCTATATATAGTCCCACTCCTTTTATCAGCTACTGGAGGCCAGACAAGGGCAGAAAAGAAATTATTCTAGAGAGCTTTTGAGCTTTTCACACTTTCTTCTTTTCTTTCTTTTTTTTTTCTTTTTTTTCTTTTTTTTTCTTTTTTTTTCTTTTTTTTTCTTAATATTGTAATACCTGAAGTGGATAGGGATAGGAGATGA